CCTCCTCCTCCTCCTCCTCCTCCTCCTCCTCCTCCTCATCCTCATCCTCATCATCATCATCTCGTTCTGCATCCTTGCATGTTCCTATTTCCAGCGAACTTCTTGTGAAAAAAAAATTGATCAGTTAGTGTAAAACCGTAGAGGCTTCAACTTGTGCCAACCGTACCAGGCCCAGTCCGGATTGCCCGGCGCGCCGCGGCGGCGAGTCACTGAGCCTGAGGAGTCCGGCCCTCAGGCTGGCGCGGCCCGCGGTCGCTGTCTGTCCTCGTTAACGAAAAATCCACAACCTTTTGTATTCATAAAGTGGTGTGTCCTGGTACAAATTTCACCGACAGTTCGTTAAATTTCACTAGTAACCGTTTTCAACGGTAAACGTACAGACAGTAGCCTACCGCTGACAGTGGACTTGAGTCAGTTAGTTTCAAGCTGCCGCGCGGCGCGCCGGCGCCGCGTGCCGCTCGGACGCCCGGCCCGGGGGGCACTGTACTACGGTACCGCCGATGGTCACCGCCGGGTGCGCCGGGCCCGGCTAGCAGCGGGGATGAGGGGCGATTGGGGGAGGCTGTAAGGTGATTGAAAATCAAGTTATAAGTGAGACAATGGCGGCGAGGGAGCGGAGGGAGAGGGGAAGGAGGAGGGGGAGGGGGGGCAGACGACTAGAGGAGGAGGGAGAGGAGAGATAGAGGGAAGGAGGGGAAGAGTGTGTTTGGAGGTATAGAAGAGAGAGAAGAAGAAGAATAGAGGCAGGGAGAGATAAGAGGGAGAGGGAGTGAGACAGGGAGAGAGAGGAGTGAATGGAGAGAAGAAATTGGGGGAGAGAAGAGGAGAGGAGTGAATTCAGAGGAAGCGAACAAGGAAGATATGGGATGAGACAGGAGCAGGTGCAAGAGCGGCGAGCAGAGGTTGGCACTGTTATCGGGGGGCAGTGGGAGCAGGGATTTGCAGGGGGCAGGAGGCAAGGGGGTCGATCAATGAACGGAAGGTGTAAGAGAGAGAGCAGAGAAGAGAGGCCCAAGGAACACGGGAATGATTGAGGCCCAGGAGATAAGATGGAGAAGGGGAGTGCTGGTATTGAGGGGGACGCACATATCGTTCTCACCTTCGCTGACGTCGGTACTTGCAGAAGTTCCATGGACTGAGTCGATCGCTTCCCTCACTCTTCCTCAGCCATGCTAGTCAAGACTCCTCACCTCCCTCGTCTCGGCCTCCCCCTCCTCCTCATAGCCACAAGCGTCGCCTTGGAGCGCAGGCCCCTGCGAGCAGCCTTCCTGTCATGCAGCGTCGGACATGGAGGACTGTCTCGCAAGCCTTCTCATCGCGTGCAGCTGCGAGCATGCGCTGCCAGCCTTGACGGACCGGAAGACAAGAGGCCACGAGCTCTCGTCCGTGAGGCTCGCCTTGCGCTCATCCAAGCTGAGCTGGCGGAGCGACGGGCGATGGAGCTGAAGGGGAGACAAGGGATGGACCTTCTGCCCGACCTCGAGGGCTGGATCCGAGTGAAGCTGCTGTGGCGGAGGATGGGAAACGCCTTGTACCGCACGTGGATCCGAGTTTTCATGGAGGTGGCGTCCTCCGACCCCCTGCGGCTCTACAAGAGTTCGCCCTTCATGGACGAGCGGGAGCGAAAGCGGCTGATTGACGAAGCCTTTAACCAGCTGGAGCTGCATGCCGGCAGTGTTGATCGCAGGAGCTTGACGGATGTGGTGGCGCGAGCATGGGGTAAGCTGCCGGCAAGCAGCGTGGTGGACAAGCTCATGGAAGAATGCGACGCTAACCAGGACGGACGGATCGACCGCGAGGAGTTCGAAGACGCGGTCAGAGCTCTGCTAGACTACAGCGACGCCAAGGGGATGCAAGTGCTGCTGCGGCAGCGAGCGGTGGAGGAGAGAGCAGCGATCTTGGAGGCTCTGAAGCAAGTGAAGCTCGAAGGAGGAGGAGCGCAAACCGCCAAGGACCTTGACAACCTCCGTCTCGACGGCAGAATCAAACTGTGGAACAGCGCCAGCGTCGTGCTCGACAACACGACCAACGAGCGTGTCAAGGCAGAGACTAACATCGCGAACCTTGAGGAGCAGCTCGGGCTCCGGCCGAGTCTCTTCACGCGGTTCAGGTACGTGGGGGTTCGGTACCTCGGCATCATCGGCTTCTTGCTCCTCGTCATGGCCAACCACGCCAAGGCAACGCTGGCAGGAAGCATCGCACAGGCGCTGGGAGCTTTCTCCTGCCTCGTCTACCTGGTCTTCGTCATCTTCGCACGTCAGATCGACCGTCTCCTCCAGAGGATCAAAGTCCACATGGCCCCAGACGGGTCTGGCCGCGACAGGTGGGCTCGTCGCGAGGCTGGTCGGCTGCTTGCGGCCTACGTGCATGGCGTTCCGATTGCAGCCGTTGCTCGTCCACATCCCGGGCTTCGTGAAGTTGCCGTGTACCCGCGGAGGGAGGGCGAGTGGGACATGCAGGAGCTGCAGCGCTCCATCTCTGTGGACGGATACATGTCGGCAGGGCTGAGCAAGTCGCAGCTGCACAAGCAGGCGGCGATCCAGATGACAGGGCTGATGGCTGAGGCTATGAAGCACGGCAATGCGATCGAAGGGTTTAGATACCTCGCCGTGCTCGAGAGGTCTTCCTCCTTTCCTGACCCTCCTCCCTCCTCCTTGTCCCCTCATTCTCTTCGTTTCCCCTCCACCACTTGTCTTCCTCTACCTCCTCCTTTCATCCCTCCTGTTGTTCATTCTGCTCACTTGCCGCAGACTTGTACTCTTCAGTCAACGGCCCTTGTCGCGCGAGGATCGACAGGTGCAAGCTTCCCAGCAGGAGCCCAACAAGCTGATCGCCTTGACAGGCACTCTTGCGGTGGGGAGTAGTGCATGGGCACCGGCTGCTCAAGCAGCATGCGGCAGCGTTCGAAGGGATGGTGAAGAGCTTTCAGGTTGGCACCGACCTCGAGGAACGACTTCACTGACTGCACTGCTAGCAAGGAGACGAGCTGCATCAGGTGGTCGGGGAGCTGGAGACAGCAGGAGGCGTATCCTACGAGCGACATCTCAAGGTCCTTGCGCTCTTCCCCATCCTCCCATCTCACTTGCAGCAGATGCTCGAAGCAGAAGATGAGACGCCTCAGGGCGGCACCAGATCCCCGTCAGCTGGAAGCCAGATAGAGGCGGCGGCTGCGGCAGCGGAGGAGGAGGAGGTCGACTACTCGCAGGTCTTCATCCCCTCTTGCTCTACAAGCATGACAGCTGCTCAGGCTCTGGACACGAGCATGAAGCGATCGTTGGAGCGGCTTGACGATGCCATAGCGACAAGGTGGAAGGGAGCGTTCCGAGATTCGGCTGAGCCTGAAGCAGGTCCAAGACGGAGGCATCAGACAAGTCATGACGAGGCGAAGAACAATTCAAGTGTTTGCATGTTTCTTGCGAGCATGAAGAAGCTGCTTCACTTGCTTCCGCTGCTGCCGCTCCCTCTCGATCCTCTCCTTCTCTTCCTTGCTCTGCGCATGCTCTTCGACCAGCGCGGAGCGTCGCTGCTCCCGCTGACGTGTGTCGGGGACGAGCAGCATCTCAATGCCCTGAGCTGCCGCCGCCGCCGCAACTCGCTCGTTGTCGTTCCTCACTCGCGAGAGCACACGTCGAACTCCAGCGGCCTGCAGCGCCATGAAGCAGTTCTTGCAAGGTGGCATGCTGATGTACGCGTCGCTCCCTTCCACCGCCACTCCTCTGCGTGCACAGGCAGAGATGGCATTGATCTCAGCATGCACGTCCGAGGCCATGGGCGTGTACAAGGGTGTGTTGGTGGCCATAGCGAGTACCTGCCGATCCTTCACGAGCACACACGCCATGTGCCCTCCGCGGCATCGCGAGTTGCGGGTGAGGAGGAGTACAAGGTCCATGTAGTTCTCGTCCTGGGGCAGCTCCTCCAAGTAGACCCAACCAAACCGTCGCAAGCCTCCTTCTCCCTCTTCCCTCATGGTGTCAGGAAATACTTGTGCAGGTATCCCTCTATCGATCGGCAGCTCTGCAAGATCCTCCTCCTCTCTCCATGCTGGTCTCCTCTCCTCTCGTTGCTCGTCTTCCTCCTTCCCTCCTGACTGTTCCTTTTCCTCCTCCTCGTCCTTCACCCGCAGCTTGTCCATCGCTTCCAGCCCCGCGCACGCCATTGCGTGTTCGTCCGACCCCAACACACACACCGTTACGTAGGGTAGGGTAATTCAAGTACAGGTGGTGGTATAAGAAAAAATATGGAGAGAGTATAGGGTGGGTAGTTCTTTTGGAGCAATGAGGGTAGGGTAGGGGGAAGAAGGAGCAACTTCATGGGAGAGGAGGTGAAGTACGACGACGGTGGAAGATACGTGGGAGGCGTTAGAGGAGGAGGAGGAGGAGGAGGAGGAGGAGGAGGAGGAGGACGAGGTGGTGGAGGAGGAGGAGGAACGGTGAAAGGAGGAGGGGGCGCAGTGAGGCGAGATGGGTTTGGGACCTATTTCTACCCCAACGGCGACGTGTTCCAAGGTCACTTTGTGTGCGGGAGACGACATGGGCAAGGAGTGTACAAGTACTCGGAGGGAGGCATCTACGATGGGGAGTGGTCGCACGACAAGATGCATGGCAAGGGGAGGTTCACCTACGCATCAGGTAATGTGTATGAGGGGCTGTGGTTCGAGGACGTACCACACGGGGTGGGAAAGTTCACGGAGGGAGATGTTGTCCAGGTGATAGAGCACAACATGGGCAAGGTATGTCCTGCTTCCTCTGCTGCTCATGAAGAACTTGTAGCAGCCCCTCCTTGCTCGCTCTCTGGGCTTGCTTGGGCGGTTGGACTGATGATTATTGCGTCCACTTCTTTCGCTCCCTCATTGCTGGATTTGCATGACGATCTTGCAGGAAGTTCGACGTGAAGTGAAAAAGCAGCCACAGGAGGAGCAGAGAGATTGGCTCTCCTCCCTCTTCTCATGCAGCTCAATGCACCGCAGGTTGAATCTGCTAACACACGCCGACATGTCTCAACTGTTTTATGGCAGTTACTCGCTCTGTACATGGAAGGGTTGAAGCCTGTTGGTGGCACTGGAGGAGTGCGCATGTGTTATGATGAAATGCAAAGGTAATAAGTCAAATGAAGTGATGAAAATACAATAGAATGAGGAGAAGATGAAGTCGAAACATCCATTCCTCGCCTCCTTCCCGTGTACGCATCCCCTTCTCCTGATCTCCTCTCGTCTTATCACCTCACTTCCTCTTACGCTTCTTCCGTTTCGCGTTTGCTTCATCTTCTTGCTCATCTTCACGCTTCCCCTCCCCGTCCTCCTCCTTCATATCGTTCCCATGTGCGTGAATCATCGCTCGCGCCCACATCGCTCTTCCCACTGTCTCCGCATTCCATTCACCCCCCAGTGCCTTTGCCTTGGAGCTCAGAGCCTCAGCGAAGGACAGGTAAGTCGCCAGCGTGTACTCCCTTTTCATCCCACAGCCTTCGAGCGCCTCGTCTGACATGAACGGGAAACGCTCGGGATCGATGTGCGCAAGGAGAGCGCTGGCCGTCGCTGGGCCGATGCCCTTCAGTTCGCAGAGCTTGTTCATCACATCCTTCAACTTCGTCACATTCTTCTTGTTGCCTGCGCTGTCTCCGAGCATCTTCATCACTTCCCCTGTTACTTGTTGGACCTGCTGGTTGCTGTTCTTGCGCAATTGCCCCATGAGAGGGCGGAACTTCCCCTTCGTCAACTAACAGGCGTGAGCATTGAAGCAAGGAAAGGGCGCGGCTAACCTTCCAATTCATGACGATCTCCATATCTTCCAGTTTCAGCCCGCGATCTTGTTCCACCTTGGTCGGCAGCTTCTTTCGTAGCCATTCATCCCAGGCCAGGAGCTCCTTCTCCTTCTTCTTGGATCTCCCGACTATGCTCATGGCAGTCTGATACATGAGCAGCGCTCTACCCCATTCCTCTGCCGATGTCACCTTGAACAGCCTCCGCGCTTCTGCGCTCCCTGCTCGCTCGGCCATTGTGATGGCAGCACTGAGTTCGTCGAGTAGTGTGCCAGCCTTCAGTGGCGGCGGGCCCGGTGAGAGTCGGTATCGTGACCGGGCCGCTGACCACCTGGACAGTGACTGCTCTGACTCCTCCGAACGGGCCTGCAGTCGTATCCGGGTTTGCTCCAGAAGTATCATTGCCCTCTACAGGATTTGAAATATCCATCTCAAAATTTGTCGACATCCATTGCAAATTGAAATATGGGAAGGGATATGAATGCTTTTAGAACTTTTTAAAGAAATCTCCCGCATCCGATCTTGTCGCATCATTATATTCGAAAACCTCTTCTTTCGCTCAATGCGATTCCTTGAGAAGATCTCTTTTCGAGGACAGGAGGCCGCAGGGAAATGAAAAGGTCGAAACAGCCGCATCCCACCAGGACTCTGTCGGGACTGCCAGTATCCTGAGCTTGAAACGACGCGAGTTTTGAGACCTGCCTGTCAGCAGCGGCCCCACCCCGCGGCCTCGAGAGAACAATATCTCGGGGTCGAGTTCTGCCCTTGTCCCCACCTATAAATCATTTTGAGGCGAGCCCGACTGATGTGGTACCTTAGATGGAAACTTTCCTTTCTTGCTTTCTAAAGTACCATGATGATGGTAGTGTAAATGGCAAGCTGGGAACGTTCCTCTTAAAGTACCATAGGAGGTCAGGCTTCCGATCAGGTTCAATCCGTGCTTGCTGACCGGTGCCGGCCTCCATGACGTAGTGCTGACAGAAATCACATGGGACACCCTTGTGTTGAAGCCGCGGGGTGCCCGGTGCCTTGGGTGGGTGGTTCAGGAGTAATCCATGGGTGGTGTGGTACTGCTAAACCTCATAACTTCTAAAAGATGTCTTTCGAATCTTCAACTCTTCGATTTACTCCAAATCATCATGATCTCCGTGCTAAAACTCGGTACCAGAATTTATAGATGAAAGTCGAAAAGAGATTGTTTCAAGTACAGGGGCCGCATGGTGAATGGCCCCTTTGGATTACTACCGATGAATCACGAGGGTTTTTTTTCTTCTTCGGTTTCCACCTTTATTAAAGAACCTTGACACGAAATCTCTTCATCCTCCTCCTCCACGCCCATACCTACACGCTCTTCACACCTGCAAACTACCTCCGACTCCTTCACCCCCTCGCTAGCTCTTCAACCCCTCTTCTTGTTCCAATCTCTGTGAACACATCAGCAACTGCAGACAGACATGATGGCAGATAGGACAATGGTCGACATCACGTGCGAAGCCGCGACTGAAGTCAAGAGCGAAGACATTTGCAGACTCCTGCGTAGCAACTTTACCGAAGAGATCTTCGAACGCCTCAAGTCCCCTGGCAACAGGTCGCCTCAGGACACAGACGAAGACGAGGACATGCCCTTCAACAAGGATGGAAGCAAGCGGAGCGTCAAGCCAGCAAGCTCCAAGAGACAACAACTGACGGCTGAGGAGGCATGTGAGATCTACATGCTGAGACCTACACTGAACAAGGACGGAAGCATGAGACGAGGGAGCATGCTGCACTGCAAGTCTGTCGCACCCAAGTATGGCGTTACCCCAAAGACCATTCGCGATGTGTGGAGTGGCAGGAGCTGGGCAGAAGCCACGAAGCATCTGTGGACCCCCGAGGAAGTGAAGAGAAGGAGGGCCCTGCCCTTCGACCCCTTCCTGGAGAAGGATGACGACTCTCTACAGACCTTCTTCCGCAGCCCCATCCAAGAGCCACTCCTGAAGGAGAAGTCCAGCAACATCTGGCAGGATTTCTCGTCAAGCATCACGGGGAGGAGCAGGGAGGCATCTCCTGTGGCTGCTGTCATCGAGCCGGCGAGCATGCAGAGCCTCTCGGGAGTCTCGAGCCCCATCCTCCAGCCCATGGTCCAGCAGCAGCTCATCCATCAACTCCAGCACAGCGCTGAGCGGGCCAGCCCTCCTCCTTCTCTACCCACCGTGCTTCCTGGGGTGGACCGCACGGTCGTGCAGAGTCTCCTCAATGTCCTGCAGATGCAGTCGCTGCAGAAGAGCTCTGTGCAGCTGAAGAGCCCCCTGTTCAACTTCGTGAGCGGCAGCGCTCCCTGTACACTCCCGGGGATTCAGGCGTCTGTCGCCCTGACCCCAGGCTGCTTCTCGATGGCCTACAACGTCCAGCCTTGTTCCCCTACCTCCTCAGTGAGCATCAAGTACTAGTGGGTTGTAAGTGTTGAGTTGCCGTGTATATCGTAATAAATACTGTACAATAGTGCGAGAGTGGCGCATCCCTGTGCTATTGCTGGCATGCTCCCTGTCCCCCTTGCCCCTCCAGCCTCTCCCTCAGGGCCCCCAGCAGCGGCTTCACGTTCTTGTCGTCTCTTGCCATCCCCAGCAGCTCGCTGGGTATGTTGCGAACCATCGGGTTCCCTGCGATGGACCTGAGGAGGAGAGGAGGGAACTAGTCAAGTCGAGGGAGCGGGAGGAGTGGGAGCAACTCACAGGCTGTAGAGCCAAGTCATCTCCAGCAGAGAGCCCTGCTCATGGATCATCAGCAAAGAGAGGTTAAGAGGGCTGGCTGACCACTTGGACGATGCGGTTGCCCTCCACGTCGAGGTGCCGCAACGATGTCAGTGTTGCGATGTCGTCGTGCAGCTGCGAATGAAGTCAGAGGAGGAGGCCGGGGAAGGGTCAAGAGTGGTGGCCGTTGGAAGATCAGATGAAGTTGGGAGGTGAAAGATGAGGCAAGATTGTTGGGTGGCACAAGATCAAGTACCGAATCCAATTTGTTCTGGTACAACCCAAGCCATCTCAGCTTGCGCAGTTGAAGGATGCAAGAGCTTGGAAAGGGTCAGAGGAGGAAAGGGGAGCGGTGGGGGAAGAGGAGAGGGGGAGGGGAAGGGAGACAGGGAGAGGGAGAGGGAGAGGGAGAGGAAGGTCCTCACGGGATGGGCCCTGAGAGCGAACACAGGGAGGCAGAGAGAACCATCAGGGTAGAGAGGCAGCCAAGGGAGTCTGGTAGGGTCGTGACGGAGTTGGAGTGGATAGATAGGTGTGCTCTGCGAGGAAGGTGAGAAGGAAGGGGAGGCTAGGGAACGGGATGTTACAGGTTCCTGCAGGACAGGGTCCACATGGGGAAGCCTGACAGGCTGGTCTTGACAGAGGTTCAATGTCAACTCTATGATCGCAAGGTTTGCTCACCTTGTAGAAATCGAGGGAGAGGATGGTGTTGTTGCAGAGCTCGTGCATGTCGCCCGTGTTGCTGAAGAGAGATTCGTTCCGCCCGACCGAGAAAGTCTGCAATCTAGGATGTTGCAGGAGGTACGCCGGGATCTTCTTGAGATCGTTGGAGTGGACGTGGAGCTGGCACAGACTAGTCATGTCAAGGACAAAGTCTGACACAAAGGCAGGTAAGACAACGTTGAAAGCACAACACCTCTACCGGGCAGGCTCTGCAGTCGATTCGAAGTCATGTTCAGGTAGGTCAAACAACCCAGACTTGTCAGCATGTCCGGGAACACGCCGATGTTGTTTCTCCCCTGCAACCCCCCACTCACTGGCGATCAGCAAAGCGCCTCCACTTCCACCTCACCAGCTCAAGTTTCGTCAAACTCGACATGCTCTGCACGCACTTTGGTAGCCAAGTCAACCAACACTCGTGCAAGCTGAAGGTTCGCATGTTCACGAAGTTGTCAAATTTCTCCAAGCAGCGGTCCTGCAGAGTGTTTGACCCAAGGTTCAGCCGGGTGAGCGAGCTGAGAAGCGACATCTCGGGGGGCAGATCAAACACCCCCCCGCCCTGTGCTTGCAGCTCCAGCACCTCCAGCCTCGTCCACTGCTTCACTTCTGCGGGCAGACGCGTGAAGTTGTTGCAAGATAGATCGAGACACTTGAGGTCCAAGTCCAGCAGCCAGGTCGGGAAGCCATCGTCGCTCATCCGCAGCCCCGAGAGGTCTACGTCACTCAACAAGTTGAACGCGAGTGTCACCGGGATCGCCGTCCGGGCTCCTTCCGGGTCCCCATCATTTCCTAGAGCGAGAACTTCCAGGTTGGTGAAGCGGGTGATCCAGCCGGGAACGTTGGGGATCGCGTTGTACCCGAGGTCGAGGAACTGCAGGTTAGCGAAGCTTCTGATCACCGCTGGGAACTCGTTCAGACAGTTCCCTCCCAGGATGAGGGTGGTAAGGTTTGTGAGCTGATCGTAGCTTCGAGGCAGCTTCCTAAGGCGATTCATGGAGAGGTTAAGGTGCTTCAGCCTTTCCAGGTTTGTGAGGACAGACAGGTCTTCCACATTCTCATTGAACAAGTTCCCTCCCAGATCGAGGTGCTCCAGCCTGGTGCAGATGTAGAATGCATCCTGGAACGGCGCGATACTTGAGATGTCCAGGTGTCCGAGGTCCAGCAAAGTCAAGTTTGGCAGGTCAGAGAGCATGACCAGAGTCTCTTCGATCCCTTGGTCTTGCAACCCACAATCAGACAACTTCAAGCTGGTCAGTTCTGTATTCTCGGACAAGACCCTGATCAACGTCGTACTAGTCAGATCCTCCCGCCTCAGTTCGCTCGCGCACTCAAAGTAGTCCTGGTCTGTTGAGCCGTCTACCCATTCTTGAAAGCCGGTTGAAATATCCAGCTCTGTCAGTTTGCACTTGGCTCTTGCCACGATGTTCTCGAGTCTTTCGTCATTCAGAGGGATCAGGGCAGGCCATCGAAATCTCCTCCAAAACTGATCTGATTCTAGAAGCTGAGCCCACCTTTTGCATACACACCGAGCTACAACATGTAGGCAATGTTCAGTCGTGAAATGAATAATCAGCAAATCGCATGCCAGGAGAAATTGGACTACAATTAGGAATGATGCTCACAAAGGAATTATTGATCAGGACAGAAGACACCTACCTCGCAGAAGCGCAGGGATATTTAGTTCGAGCTCTTGCAAACATATCGCGAGCTCCTCGTCTCTCATAGACACATTCATGCTTGTTTCCCCTTCCGTCTTGCTCAGCCTGTGTAATCTCATGAGTCTGAAACAGTGGAGTCTGTTCAGTTCCAATCTAATGAGGGTTTCTCCTCCTTATCATCTTACTCCTCTCCTCTCCTCTCCTCTCCTCTCCTCTCCTCTCCTCTCCTCTCCTCTCCTCTCCTCTCCTCTCCTCTCCTCTCCTCTCTTCTCCTCTCATCTCCTCTCCTCTCCTCTCCTCTCCTCTTGCCTGGCTTCCTTTCGTCGCAATGGTCTCTCGTTGCGCCCGCTCGCAGCATGACACTGATCTCCATGTTGCCAAAGAAACGGCTCTGGTTGCGAGCGTAACGTATTATTTAGACTGGGTGGGTGTTGGCGAACACCCGTCCTGTGCCGTTGCTACGGTAGGACAGTGGTAAAATAGTGGGGTCATGATAGGATATTTGAGGGGTGTAAATAGTAATGGGTGGGTACTGGCTCCGTTTGGGGTACATGGAATTCTACTAGATGGGGGTGGGGGTTATGGATGGGCTTCGGGGAAACAGGATTGTGAAGAATATTTCAAAATATATTATGAATTTTCAACAATATAATAAAATTGTATTCAAATTTGTCTCCAGAAATGTGAAATTGTTGGGGAGGTCTTGCTTTGTAGTCATGTGGGTGGGAATCATTTGGGGGCTAGGGGTACTTTTTGTACCCACCCTTGATACTGTGAAAATATGAATAAAGTACCGGTGATCCCTAGAATGGACTAGCCGGTATCGTTATGGATGGGTAGGCCAGGACGAGAGAGGGTGTAGAGCAAAGTTGAGGGTAGGGGTGGTCCTTGCAAGGCTCAAGAGGTAGGGTGATAACGGAAAGGAGGGGTACAGAATACAAACGGGGGTGATCGTTCCATGGTGGGTGGTTTATCTCTGTATGACCCCCTACATTTGGGTTATATTGAATGATTTTTAGTAGGTGAGGGTACTTCGGGAGTTTCTGTAAGGACGATAACGGGTGGGTTTGTGGAAATGTACGGTAGGGGTACTTTTAGAGGAAGTAAAGGTTTGGGTAGGGTCGTAGGCAGAAGTGCTGGGGGTAGGGGGTAGTGGTGGGATGGGGGCTCATGACATGCAAGCATATTGAGGAATGCTGGGAAGGAGGGCGAAAAAAAATGAAGAGGAGGGGAGGAGAGGGGAGAGAGGAGAGGAGAGGAGAGGAGAGAGGGAGAGAGGTTTTCTAGAGGATATGCGAGGCGAGGCGAGGCCGAACCAGCTGAGGTGATCCAAGTTCCGAGCTGGTCAAAGTGAAGCAGAGATCAGATGGAACTTACCAAACTTGACAAGGAGTTTCTGTGAGTGGTGAGAGATGAGAGGCATGGGTTGAAAGATGATAGGAACAAGATGATGAAGAAAACTTGAAGTGAAGGCATTGAAGGCACTGAGGAAGGACCGGAAGCCATAGAAGCTAGCAGCACATCGCTGGCAGAGATTAGGTATCATCGCAGGGGAAGCGAGCAGCAAGGATGGGTGGCTTCCGAGCATGCAGCTCTACCCATAGGAACGCACATTCCGTGTGCTGTCCCCATTTTCCTGTCGCAAGGCTCAATCTGACTCGAGCTCTCGTGCTCTGATCAGGACCAGCGTTCTTGGACCTCCTTCGGCCATGGAGTTCTTAAAGAAGGGAGTGCAGGCTGCGAAGAAAGTCGGGTCACAGGCTGTGAGCCAATTGATGGATGTAATTCATCTCCTCCCTCTCTCCTTCCTCTCTTCCTCCTCCCCTTCGCTGAGTGCTGAATGCCTCAGGCGGTTGATGAGAACTCGACGACGTCCCTCGGCCTTGGCACCTCCTCCAACGACGTGGAGTTCGAAGCTGGAGTCAAGCACTTCATGACGCTGAACAACTCTCTCAAGCAAATCGGCACCAAGGCGCAGGCGCTGATTCAATCCATCCGCTCCCAAGGACAGGTAACGGACAGCTCTCGCACCTTCCTTCGCGCCCTTATGTTCAGCTTTGCCACTGTCAAGCACCTGGCTCTCGCTCTAGGATCGTGCTGACTGGCGTCGCAGAATGCTCTTGGAGTTGTTGAGCTGGTGGAGGCTTCTCTTGAGATGGAGTTTGGAGAAGACAGCATGTGGACAAATGCAGCGTACAAGCTGAGAAGCTTGAACCAGCAGGTCGATGCTTGTTGGTAGGCCGTGAGCTCGTCCTGAAATGCGATCCGTGCACAGATTGATGGGAAGTTTAACCAGCAGCTCTGTACACTGCTGCAGAGAGATATCCTGGACAAGATAAGCGCAGAACTGGAAACAAACTCTCAGACCAAAATGTTTATCGATCAACGAAGGTCGATGAAGGAGGCAACGAAGTAAGGCGCCGCTGTAGACTGCAGTCTTTTGTCCTTACCCAGATCCTCCTCTTGCCCCTCCCCTTCTTCCGCGCCCTCCCTCCCCTTCTTCCGCGTCCTCCCCTCTGACTCGCTGGAATCTCTCAGGGCGGAGGCTGACGATGCTCTCCACAAGCTTGCAGCCATCATCAGGTGATGGAGCGCAATGGCAAGTGAACCACAGCTGCAGCTGACTCGCATGCAGGAGGAGGAACATGCTGCTGGCTCATCTGGTGACTGTGTTCATGTCGCACCAGTACAACTACTACGTCCGGCTCGCTGATCAGTGCCAGCACCTTCGACAGGTGAGACGAAGGCCGGGAGAAGTTGGAGGGCAGCTGCTGACCCCGGCCTGCTTCCCAGCTCACCGTGGAGTGCAAGGAGCTCCTCAACGGAGCATCGAGTGACGTGCACACGCCTCCAACTCAGTCCGCTGTCCCCAACCACGTCCAGCAAATCCCTCCGATGCCCAAGGAAACGCCGCAGGACCCGAACGGGAACGCGGCTGTCCCTGCGAAGGTGGAGGAGGCGGCGGCCCCTGTTGTTCAGAAGGAAGTCCAGGAGGCGCCCTTGCCCACTCCAGCTGAGGAGAAGCCGGCGAAGGAGGAGGCGAAGGAGGCAGATCTGCTGTCCATGCTGGACTCTGATCAGCCGGCAGAGACAGAAAAGGCGAACAGCAACGGGGGCCCGAGGAGACTCTCGCAGGAAGCAAGTCAGGCCGACAGGCAGCAGGAGACCGCTGACCTGCTAGGAGAAGCTTCCTCTGCTGTCCCCCAGTCCACCGACCTCCTGGGAGACCTCCTCTCTGAACCTCAGGTACTCCCTCCCTCTCCTGTCTCGCACCGCCTCAGCCCCCGTCAGGTCAGGAGCGCTCCTCCCAAGAACAATCCGCAGGACGACCTTCTGGGCGACTTCACGAGCTCCGCGCCCTCACGAGCGAAGCCGAAGCCCTCCGGTCCTGCCGATGACCTCCTCGACTTCTCCTCTACCAAGGCTTCTACCCCCGCCGATCCTCTTGCTGACTTCTTCGGTAATGCCCGCTGGTGGTTCCGTGCAGTCCCCACCTCCTCCTCGCCGCTGATCAGGCTCCTCTACTTGCCACTCCTCCTGCTCTCTCGCTGTGCTCTAGATAGCATCGCTGTCCTTCGTTGTCCCCTCCTCGTACATCAAGATCACAGAGGTTGACTACCCTGCAGGGCATAGCACGAGCTCGACCAAGGCGAACAAAGACCCGATCTTCGTGAGTGCTCCTCCTCTCTCCCGCAACCTTGTTCCCCCCCCCCCCCCCTCACCTCCTCCTTCCCCTTCACTTCTCTCGCTCACCGATGCAGCAGGACGTGTTCAACAATAGCGATATGCTCGGTGGAATGGGCAATGGCGACTCGCCCGTGGTCGGTGGCGACGAGGAGCCGTTGAAGCCCGTGGCGAGAGGCGCGAGATTCCGAGCAGGCGACGAGTTTAAGGGGACAGGAACCAACAGGTGGGAGTTGCAGAGGGAGAGGAGCAGGAGCAGGAAGAGGAGGAGGAGCAGGAGGAGGGAAGATATCGTGTTGGGGACGCGTTGAGGTAGAGGAGAAGGGTCTGACGGCTCTGGGGGTGCAGGGAGGAGCTACAACGGCAGTTCGAGCAGCACATTGCAGAGAAAGCGCAGGCAAAGGCGGAGGAAGTTCGAAGGCAAGAGGAAGATAAGAAGAATTACGAAGACATGAAGTTTCAGGCACAGGTAAAAAATGAGCATATCTCCTTGTGACGACCATATCTGAGTGAATTCTCTCTCCCCCCTCTCTCTTTTGCTCTTGTTCTACCTGTTCTTCACCCATTCCTCCTCCTCCTACTCCTACTCCTACTCCTACTCCTACTCCTACTCCTACTCCTACTCCTCCTGCTCCCTACTTGCCAACCTGAACTTCTTTTCTCCATCCTCTCCGACGCTATAGGATATGGTGGATAAGAAGATTGTTGGCTGGGCTGGGCCGAAGCACAACCGAAAGAACCTTCGAGCGATGCTTGCTAGCTTCGACACGGTGAGGACCGCAGCCCTTCTCCCTCACTCCCTCCTCCTGTCGCTCTGTTGAGCCTCCTCCGCACCCTGCACTTCTGCTTCGCTTTTCTCCTCTCCTGCTGCCCCTGCTTTCCCCTCCTCCTCTCCTCAACTCCCTCCCCTCCCCCTTGTCTCTCCCTTCCTCTTCCACTTCCTCCTCCCTCTCACTTTCCCCCTCCCCCCTTGTGCTGCTCCATCGCTGGTATCTCTCACTCCCTCCTTCTTTGGCTTCAGGTCCTATGGGACGAGGCCAAGGCCAAGTGGAAGACCGTCGGGCTGCACGAGCTTGTCATGCCTGCCGATGTCAAGAAGATCCACAGGAAGGCCATTCTCATCGTACATCCTGGTAGGAGCTCGACTAACTCCCCTCTCCTCCCCCCCCTTCCTTTCCTCCTGCGATCTTTTTCTTCTCCCTCCTCCTTCTGCCCTTCTTCAACCTGTCATGATGTTTCTCTGGCGTTCCCATTCTCCCTCCTCTTCCCCTCCTTCTACCCTCCTCCTCCTTTCCCTCATCTCTGCTCCTATCCTCCGCTTACAAACCCTACGATCTCCCTTCATGCTCTATCTCATGGCTCTTCCGCCCTCCCTCTCCTCGCTCCCTGTCTTCCCCTCCTTGCTCACGGGCTCTCTCGCAGACAAAGTTCACAACGCTTCCATCGAGGCGAAGATCCTCGCAGAGCAGGTGCATGCGGTGCTGCATGAGGCCTTGGAGACCTTCAGGAAACAGGAGTCGTGTTAAGGCGAGGAGGGAGGCGCTTGTTTGTTTGTGGAGGAGGAGGAGGAGGAGGAGGAGGAGGAGACGAGGGAACAAAAGTTATCACTTTCTGGTGACTTTATTGCTAACGGAACCGCATCCTCCTCGCTGCTGCAACAGCACGAGCAGCCATCATCATTGGTTTCGACCTCCATCGC